AACAAGGCATGACATACTTTGAATTGATTAACGCTGTCCTTTACTAAAAACAAAAGAAAGTTTTATTCTCAATTTTCCTCTTCTTTAAAGTTTACATATCCAGGATCTAGACAGGTTAATAATGTATGTACCACAAAATTCACAATGATTTCCAGCATCTAGACAGGGTAATAATGTATGTACCACAAAATTCACAATGAGATGAATTTTGATTGTTTACATTTGTCTCATCCAATTACTGGAAATTCTCTTAGAGGTGGTGGTAGGTTAATACCAGAAATTACATAAGTAGAATCTGGATTAAAATCAATAAAATGGAGGTTCAAATTCCCATTCTGATATGAAGCGTATTGACTTTGGACTGGCTACTATCTCTGACCTATACCATCTCACTTTGAAGATAAAATGTTGTGGGAGAACTGCCTTTTGTTCTAGGGCAAACTGGCGGTCCATGGGCCAAATGCACCATGTGCAGACCAGACCCACCCCAGCTCCGCGAAGGGAAAAAATGTCATGATACATCACATGATGGCAATGTGACACCGCAAATTTGACACCCGTGTTCCAGAGGTGGTATTCAGCAGGTTCTGACCAGTTCTGGAGAGTCGGTAGTGGAAATTTTGAGTAGTTTGGAGAACTGGCAAATACCAGATCTGACTAGAGATTTTACAGTATCCTTCCCCTGCCACGTGCACCAATCCACGCCCACAGAACTGGTAGTAAAAAAATTTGAATCCCACCACTGTCGTGTTCTAGGGAAATGAACTGACCTTTTCATTTTGAAAAGTAGCAATGTTTTTGCTCCTTGCTACTCCTATGTGGGTATGTTTAGAATCATAGTAAGATATATTGTACAGATAATCTTTGACTTCCAACAGATAATTTAGTGACCATTCAAAGTTACAATGGCACTGAAAAAAGTGACTTATGATCATTTTTTTCACTTACAACCCTCACAGCATCCCCATTGACATTTGATTGACATTCGGATGCTTGGTAACGCGTTCATATTTATGATGGTTGCAATGTTCCAGGGTCATGTAAATACCTTTTGCAATCTTTTGACAAGCAAAGTGAATGGGGAAGCCAGATTCACTTAATAACCATGTTATTAACTTAACTGCCATGATTCACTTAACAAATGTGGTAAGAAAAGTTGTAAAATGGGACAAAACTTACTTAACAAATTTCTCACTTAGCAAAATAGATTTTGGGCTCAATTGTGGTTATAAGTTGAAGACTACCTGTTATTATCTCTGATTTCATTCCAGAAAGATGAAATAATGACACATGAATGATTAGTGGGGCTTTCATAAACCTTTTACAATTCCCAGTACAGCAATATCCTTCTAATGCAGCAATTATAATCTCCTACAATGGTTATATAATTTTTTCTGGCTTATTTTAAAAGCTATTTTCATGTGTCAAGTATGACATCCATTTAAAGGAAATCCAACTGAGAATTAACTAAGGTGCACTGTTTGGGAATAAAACCATTCAGTGTTTCCCGTCTTTGAGATCCATGCACTATTTCCTGGCACCTGGATAGGAAATGCAATTAAAAAAAACAAAGCAACAAGATCCAGATTGGAATGTTTCTAAAGCAAAGTTTGATTCTTTCCCAAAATGTGTTGCAATTGGCATTGCATTTTCTTTGTAAAAATCAGTGTAGAGAACTTTCAAATAAGTCAATATGTGATTAGTATATATAGTACCATTTTAAATTGCTTTTTAAGGGATTATTCATATTGGATTACTTTTCGGCCAGTCTAGAATAAACAAACTAGACCAAGTACAAATGATTATTAAAGTGAATTGTTCAACTTGAGTGAAGATTTTTTGCAGAATCCCCCAAAGGACACGCAACTCAATCCTTTACTCTGAAGCAAGTCCAGTTAAGCAAAAGCAGAACCAAAGTAAGTATATAAATACTCAACTATAATCTTAGTTTGATATTCTAAAAACTAGAACAATGATCAACTGCCCCACAAAAAATAGCTACATAGTTGATTAAAGATTGTAAAGAATTTGTAGAACAACTTCACCCTTCAGTGCTTGTGTTGGTTGTCTGCCATTTACATTGTTTTGCAAAACTGGCATGCATTTCAAGTTGAGATCCATCCCATTGTAAGTAACTAATGCCCATAGGGCGAATTTAACTAAAAGAGAGATCTCTTTCTTCTCAAAACTTGCATAAGAAGCAAGCAGGTACTACTATAACTACAGAGGACTCTACCAAAAGAATTGTCACATTCCACAGGCCAGTAAAATTCCATTGATAGTATCTTGTTCCAAGCCATTTTTGAGAAGTGGTATTTATGAAAAATAACTTCGCTCAATAAATCAAATATAAAAACTGCATGTCAAAGTCTCCTTTACATGTTCAAATCATTAAGAAATGCTTCCAACTGAGAAACTAGATAAAGCATTTATCTAGTTTCTCAACTTCTGAAGTTTGCAGATGATACAACAGTGATTGGTTTCATTCGAGACAGTGATGAATCTGCATACAGATGGGAGGTTGAATAATTAGCCTTGTGGTGTGACAAGAACAATCTGGAACTGAACACACTCAAAACCATAGAAATAATGTTAAACTTTAGTAGAAACCCTCCTATACTACCATCTCTTACAATACTAGACAACACAGTATCAACAGTAGAGAACTTCAAATTTCTAGGTTCTATTATATCACATGACCTAAAATGGACACCTAAGATCAAAAACGTCATCAAAAAGGCACATTGTTCTTTCTGTGCCAACTCAGAAAGCTCAAACTGCCCAAGGAGCTGCTGATTCAGTTCTACAGAGGAATTATTGAGTCTGTCATCTGCATCTCTATAGCTATCTGGTTTGGTTCTGCAACAGACTTCAATGGATAATTAGGACTGCAGAAAAAACAATTACTACCAACCTGCCTGCCATCAAGGACCTGTATCCTGCATGAGTCAAAAAGAGGGCTGTGAAAATATTTACATTCTGGACATAAACCATTTCAACTCCTTCCCTCAAAACGACGCTATAGACTACACTGCACACCAGAACTAGACACAAGAACAGTTTTTCCCCAAACGCCATTGCTCTACTAAACAAATAGTTCCCTCAACACTGTCCAACTATTTACAAAGTCTGCACTACTATTACTATTAATCTTATCAATCCTTATCACCCATCCCCCCACTTGTGACTGTATGACTGTAACTTTGTAGCTTGTATCTTTACGATTTATATTGACTGTTTCCTAGTATGTGATTTCTTATTTGTACTCTATGACTTTATTAAGTGTTACCTTATGATTTTTGACTCTTGACGAATGTATTTTTTCTTTTTATGTACACTGAGAGCATATGCACCAAGACAATTCCCTTGGCCAATAAAGAATTCATTCATTCGTTTCTTTTACCGTTTATGTAATATTCACAGACATAACTGTTCGTTACATTTGTAACATCCAGGTTTTCACTAGGAGCTCAAAATGATTTACACTGGGATGTCTTTTCGGATCATCCCTGCAACAACCCAACACAGTAAGTTGATCTGACAGAGGAATTGTCCGAAAGTCCCCCAGCACAGAGATCACCAACTTTTTGGACCTCAGGGACCACCAAACTCATACTTTTAAATCCTGCGGACCACTAATATGAATTTTGACTGACAGTGGCTGCAGGAAAAAAGTCTGCAGGAAAATTCCCCACCGTTTTTCTACCAATTGATCATTCTTTATTTGAGATTGCAGGATACCGTCTCCAACTCCGTTCTCAGGGGCGAGAGAGAGAGAGAGAGAGAGAGAGAAAGAGAGAGAGAGAGACTTTTGGCTTCATGCAAGGAAAGCAGCAGAAACGGAAGTCTTTCTTTCTCTCCCCCAAACTCCTCCAGAAATGACTCTTTGCCGGTGCAGACTCTTGGAGCAGGATGCCTTGCAGGGTGCCAAAGACTCATTTCTGGCAGAATTTGGGGGAGAGAAAGAAAGACTTTTGCTGCTTTCTTTGCAGAAGAAAGAAGTGGAAAGAAGCAGGCCAGTGGTCAGGCGAGGTGCGTGGGGCACATGGGGCAAGTTCCACCCCGCCCTTTCCCCCCTCCCCTCACTACCTCATGTTGTTCGCAATGCAACCAACGCAAGCCTTGTGTTCCCGGGGGCCATGTGGGCAGTGCATCCTTGTGTTCCCGCACAGCCTAGATTAATTGCTTTGGGGGGGGGTGTTTTGGGGGTGACATTTCTCTGCAGACCACCAAGATTTTCTCACGGACCACCAGTGGTCCCCAGCCCACTGGTTGGTAACCACTGCCCCAGCAAGTTCTCATGGCTGAACCCAGGCCTACCCCATCCTATTTCACACTTTAATCCTGACCATAGGGCCGAGTGATGCGATTCTGTTGCGAAGCACTATTATGTCTGAAATCTCTCAAAACTCCATATATAAGAGGCCAGGGATTGACTGGGTGAAGTGAAATGACTGAGTGAAATGACCCTTCGAATTTTTGGTGGTAACCGTGGATAAAGAGTTGGGAAGCTGCCCTCCATCCGCTACATTAATCTTCTGCCATCAGGTGTGGCGACAGGTGCTTTAGGGTGACCTTGGGAATATAATGGAGAGATACCTATTCTTTCTGAACAGAACCAGGTAAAGTTGCAGAGTTTTCTCTTGCTTGCGCACAATTGGGCTTGTCAGGCAGCAGAAGAACCCCCGCCCCCCCCTACAATCCAGGGCATCTGCTGCATGCGTGGAATTGCATCCGTGCAAGGTTGTCAGGCAGCAAGCAACCGCTGTCAAGCACGTCTGTGCGCACACACACCCTTTTACATACAATATAAACAACCTTTCGCAGGAATTCGGAAGGCGCAGACGTGCCTTTCAGAGGCTTTCGGTCCCGGAGGGCACAGCCGTCGACGGGTGGCTCTGTTCCTCCTTCAACGTCCCTCCGGGGCCTGCCTCCTGCTTCCTCTGACCTCCATCCTCCGCCGCGCTCTGCAGCCAGCCAGTTCTCGGGGGCCGAGGGCGCGGGAAGCACGAGGTGTGTCGCTGGAGCTCCAAAGCCTGCGAACTTTCTGCCTTGATTGGCTCAACCTCACAAGCGACTCCCCCGCGGGGCTCGGCAGAAGCCGCGCTGCCTCCAACAGGAGCGGCGCTCCCTCCTCCTCCTCCACCAGACCGCCCCGCTCCTCTCGGCCAGTCAGAGGGCGCAGCCCCGAGGCTCAGCCGCCGCCGCATCATGCAGCCGCCGCCGGCTCCCGCTGCTGCCCTCTTGCTCGTCCTGCTGGCTGCGGACTCCTCGCAGAGTGAGTAGCGGGGCTTCCTTCCCCGGGCCGCTTCCTCCTCTTCTCCCTCCACCCCACCCGAGGAAGGAAGCCCCCTCTTCGCTGCCCTTCCTCGGAGCGGCGGCGGAGGAGTTCGCCCTCTCCCCCTAAATGGATGGGAGACGCGCATTAAACCCCCCCCAAAAAAGCCCACGCGGATAACACCGCGTTTGCGTTTCTGTGGGCCGGGAAAGAGCCCACCGACAGACGCTTCGGCGCTCTCCGGCTTTTGCCTCTTAAGGTCAGGGCGTCCTAAAGCCTTTTTCCCACGGGCGACCAGCCGGCAGCTTCCAGTCCACGGCACCTGCCTCGTGGTGCTACTTTTCGGCTAAAGGTTCTCGGTCTCCCCCGCTCCCAGACCCAATTTTGTTTCCCGGTCGCCTTTCCGCTTTTCCTCTTTTGCCCTCCAAAAGGGGTCGGTGGCGACCTTCGGTCTCCCTTGCTCTTTGGGGCTTCCGCAGCTTTGTTCTCGGCAGCGGCCGGGCGAGGGGCCGCGGGGGGATGCCCTTGTTTTGCGAGGTAAAACGGCGGTGGCGCCGAGGCGGCGGCATTGTTTGGTTTTCTCTCGTGGCGAGCGCGCAAAATGGTGTGGGGGGGAAGCCGCGGAGCTGAAGATGGAACCCAGAGCCGGAGGGTTTGCAAGCGGCCCGAGCATGTCACGTAGAGTGGAGTTTGTGAGGGCCCCGGGGGGGACTCTTAGGAAAAGGGGAATGTCCGCGCGCGCTTGCCCTGAGGGCGAGGGAGGGAGCCCGGCGACTTGGCTGGGGAGGCGCGCGGCCGCGTCCTTCTTCCAAGGGATCCCGGGATTAATGGCTTCCCTCTTCCCTCCCCCCCTATTTCTTTGGGGGCTCCTCCAGCCGTGGTGTTCTACAAAGGTCGCGAAGAGGCTTCTCAGTTCCTTCGCCAGAGGCACCGCCGAGCCTACCAGATCTTCGAGGAGACCAAGCAAGGCCACCTGGAGAGAGAGTGCGTGGAGGAACTCTGCAACCGGGAGGAAGCCCGAGAAGTGTTTGAGAACGACCCCGAGACGGTGAGAAAAGTCCAAAAAAGTGTCGGGGATCATTAACTTTATTTTTTTAAAAAAGTGGGGGGGGGGGAGGAAGAAGAATAGTCTGAAGTCGTCCTGAAGCATCAGAATGGGAATGAGGGTGCCAGGTGTTTGCACAGCTGGAGAAGTTGCTTGGGAAGAGTCATTATTAGATAAATAACTTAAACCACGCCCTTCTCTTGACAAATCTGTTCTGTTTGGATTGTGAGGCCAAGCAAACAAGAATAGGGAAGTGAGTAGCTTGTATGGAGCTAAGTCAGGAACCCTTTCCTAGAAAGGATCCCGTGGGTGTCAGTGTTTGTGCGAGCACGTGCTTTCTTTTTGTGGACAAGTTAAATCCTACTACAGACGAAATACGTCTACTAGAATTGGGGTTATTAGATAACTAAGGAGAATTTGCAATTAGCGCAGCTCAATTTGAATATTTCTTTTGGTGCCTGTCAGATTTTTTTTTAATTGCTTGCAAGCTAGGTTTTGTTGAATAAATCAGCTTAATAAACAATATAAAACCATCTTATTTAGAAGAGTATTCAATATATTTATTGAATTAGAAGATTATGCTAACTTGGATCAGCGGTGGTATTGGTTGATAAATGTAAACTCATATCACCAAATGAACCTTTTTAAAGAAATTACTGTGTTTTGTGAGTGAATGACAATTACCTAAATCTACAGCTGTTTCTTGCTAGAAGTCTCAATAGCATAAAAGTAATTATAAATAATTTTAAATTAAATAAAACATACTTCATTTTATACATTCTAGTTTTCTGATGCTTGCAACTTTGGGGTGTACTATTCTGAAAACACTTATTTATAAACAAGGATTGTCTGATACTTAGTTAGGGAATAAATGTTTTGAGAGAACTAGTGATTTTTGCACAGGGTTGTATTCCTATTAATAATTTGGGTGGACAGGTTGAGAGTTTTGTAGGTCAAAAGTACTGAGAATGAGAGGAACTTGGATTTTTTCCTCTTAGAAGACTTTATTTTTATATCTAAGGAAAAACATGTCTTAACATATTCCCTGACTAAGTTTGCAGCATGGTGTACTGAACTCTTTTTCCAGCCTAGTGAATAGTTGTAAAGTAGTAGCAAATTTTGGTTTGTGATATCAGTCTTAAACTTTTAGCCTTTAGCCTCAGATAAAGTCAAGGATATGTTTGGGAAGAACAAAAATGAACAAGATGTTCTCCAATTCTCTGTCATTTTAGTTTATAAACAGTAAACAGCATTGGATATTTAGGTTGCTTACATATGTTTTCATAGATTTGAACTCATTAAAAAATTGTTCCTTTTAAATACCAATGTTAAATGTATTCACATTTAATCAATATAAGCTTTGCTGAAATAATTTTTTACAAGTTTGCAGCCATGGTTCATAGATGGATGGAGAATATCCCCAAAGTGAAAACATAATCTAAGGTCACCAGTGGGTTATATATAAAGTTTCAGTAAAATTTATTTTTAATCCAAAAATGAGCCTGTATGTGACTAAATTGTATTATTTCATTGAAAAAAGGGAACATATTCTGCAATGTCATTTATCTAAACCTTTACTATGGAATGTTTGATTTTCTGTGACAATTTAAAAAAAAATAAATGCTGTTTTATGTTTGTGTTCTTAATTTCCTCCACTTTTGAAAAATCTCTGAAGTTTTATATAGTTTATAAAAATGAATGTAGTGGAAAAAAAAGTAATGGTTTTCTGAGGAAGAAGAAGAAAGGGTGGTGGAAGGGAGAGATAAACTATCTTTCAAATATGGTAGTCCTACTTTGATGTAGCATACCTGAAGAAGCAGTAGTGATTTTGTCTAATGTAAATAGATCTCTGTTTGCATAATGGGATTTCCTTTTGTTCCCCATCTCTTCTGCCCTGCATTGTATATCTTCTAGCTATAAGAGATTAGCAATGGGCAGGTTTCATGCATAAAACTAGACCAATAACACTATTCGCCTAAAAAGGATCTTGGAATTCCATGTAATTATCGCAACACTAACCTTGTTGAATACTAGATAGGAACTGTCCTTGGAAGGTCACAAACAATATCAAGATAAAACTGGTGGAAATATCCTGGAATTATTTCCCGTATCTCTGAACTTGGACATTCTATTAATCATTTGAATTTTAGTCACTATTGATAGCTACATTCATAGTAGAAAAATCTATTAAAACAATAGTAAAATTCTATTGGTAATCTTCTATCAGGTAAAATTTATTCACTTAAATTAGGTTATTATTTTAAAAATAATTTGATACATGGTGCCCTAGACATAAAAAAATATTGCTGGGATGTTTGTAGTATAAGCACTTTAATATCTGAGCAAGCATGGTTATCTCATTTCTCTCAATTAATCAGGTTTGTGGATGATTTTCAAATGTGGTTTGATGAAGAGATGAGCAATATAATAATTCCTAAGATCTCCTGGGGACCTTCTTTAGTTTCCCTAAGGTCCAACTGTATGGTCAAAAAGAAAGAGATTATGCTGTCATTAATGGAATGAATTTAAACTGGTCATTGATAACAATAGAAGTTAATGATCTACAGTAGATTGCTGGGACATGGAGAAAGATGAGAATATAAATTGCTATGTGTTTATTTGTGACTTTGATCTTGCAACATAAATTTATTCCTGCAAGAAACTGAATTGATTCTCTTTGACTGGTTTTATCTTAATGTTTCCAGGATCTTATTTGGGGTCTAAATTAATATATAGAAATATATAAGAAATAACAAAAAACTTTGATTACTTATGATTCTAATATTGGTCTAGATCCATGATGGCGAACCTATGGCACGCATGCCAGAGGTGGCACCCAGAGCCCTCTCTGTGGGCACGCGAGCCATTGCTCCAGCTCAGCTCTGCTGTGCGTGCCTGCCTCCTACCAGTCAGATGATCTTCGGGTCTCTGCTGTGCAGGGGCAGGGTGCATGCACAGGGTGCATGCACATGTAGTGGGTGGGGCGCATGCATAGGGGGGGCAGGGTGCATGCACAGACGATGTGTGTGCATGCGCAGGGAACACATGCACATACATGGGGGGCAGGGCACATGCCTGGGGGACGCACGTGTGGGAATGCATGCGCGTACTTTGGGCATTCGGTGCCGAAAAGGTTAGCCATCACTGGTCTAGATGTATCAAGTTGTTGGTATTTTTGAAGGCTGTAATCTTGTAGCTTTATTTTGAACTCAATGCAGTTTTTCCAAGTGTTGTTAAACAGTTCCAGGGAGATTAGTTAATAATATTGGAATTATAGTTAAGTAACATATGGAAGTCTTATTCCTCATTCTTGTTTTATAGTACTTCAGTGTTCTTATTTTAAAGCAAAAATGGCATTTTAAAAATAATGTAGATTGTAGAATGTTCAGTTTTACCTTATTATACAAACGATATATACAGGGGTTGAAGAATTTATATTAGCATGTGTACAGAGTAGATTTGTTTTGCAACTTTAAAAACCTGATGAGAATTTTGAAAAGCTGTGACATATGTATTACAAGTCTGTGTATGCCATGTTACATAAATGCACAAAGCAGGTGTACATGGCAAATATTAAGGTTCAGGCTATTGGTAAATTTTAAGAGATCACTAGACAACCTGTGACCCATTGGATCTTTCTTCTTTACACATATAAAAGAGAGCCCTGGTGAAGCCTTTTCCTCCTCCACCTCCCCAAGCAGGCATCCAAGTTACTCCCTCAGTTTTCCCCTCACTGGCCACCATTGTTAAGAGATTTCAAATTTTGGCCTCAGTTCCAAAGCAGCCAATGGCCGCTCACTAGTCAGTCTTCACCTCTAGTTATTCAGTGCAGAAACTCAAGGGAGGCAGGAAAGAGGGTAGGAAATACCTCTCCCATCTTCTGCTACGCAACCCGTGGTTTCTACTGGTAGGAAGTGTAGTCAGAAGGCATGGTAGAGGAGCTTTGCCAAATTTCAATCCCACAGGATACGTTCTGTAAATTAGTCCATTTAAGGTATGTTGATTCAAAAAATGTTGCTCTATAATGCACCATTTTGCCCAGTTAAAAATTACAAAGTATCAAATAGTCACAAGAATTTTTGTAGTGTATAGATTTTGATGTGACAAAAAACTCTTTTTTCTGTTGCCTGACACAGAACTTTTAGAGAGCTTTGAGAAGGAATAAGAAAATTTTGTTTGATTCAATACTGAACAAATATCCCACAATGCAAAGTTCTATATTTAGAACTGTCATTTTAAAAGTGCTGAGTAACCTTCTTATTCAGCATGTACAGTAAAATTATATAAATGCTGAGTTCATTTATATAAGGTTCATGTCCATCCTCAGCCATAGAAATTTACTGCATGGCTTTTGGACCAGTCATGATTTCTCAGTCCAGCCTGCCTTACTGGGCGGGGTTGTTCAGAAATAGGAGGGAATGCAATTTGTTTTGTTTTGTTTTTGCTCCTGGAGGGGAGGGGAATGTGGAATGTAGAACTAATAAATAAGTATAATTTTGAACAGTTTTGGTTGCTTGTAATCTTGCAATGATTAATGATGTCATTTTTCTGGCACAGATTTAAGAGTTTTTTCCTTGGCATTATTTTATATGCTTTGATCCTGCAGAGAAAACAGTTAGGTAAAAGGGTCTAAAGAAAATAATTTAAGTTGATAAGAGATATGCCTGTAAATGTTTTAATTTCACATATTGTTTCATTTTGCATAATTTGGCTATATCTCCTACACCATGTAATGATCCGTGTGTGTGATTTGTGTGTGTGTGTATGCCTTTGAGTCAGTGTTGACTGCTGGTGACTGCCTGGGCTCGTCCCTGCAATTTTCTTGACAAGATTTTTGGGAGTGGTTTGTCACTGCCTCCTTCGGGAAAGTGATTGGCCCAAGGTCACTGATCTGGTTTTGTGCCGAAGTCAGGAACAGAACTCATTGCCTTCTAGTTTTTAGCCCAGTGCCTTAACCACTACACCAAACTGCTTATCTTACATGATGATAGCTACGGAAAGTT